AATCCGAAAGTTTGGTTTGCGGAGAGATAACTGCTCCAAATTCAGTGTGAAAACAGTCATGAAGTAATGTTTTAATGATACGCGTAACTTATCAATGTAAAGGGTGTTTTTCTAACTCAAGATATATGTAGAAATAAAACGTGAGGGTATAAGTCACTCTAATGTGTTTTCTCGCGGAAGATTTCTTTTATATTCAAGTAATTGCACGCTGAAGATTATTTGTATAGAACCACGATTATATAACCTGCAAAAGACTCTTTTGCAGTACAATCCCGTGTTAATCAAAGTGAAATAATTGACATTTTATAGAAAACACTGTAGTACTGCGATATGCACAATTTTTTATACAATACATTTGTTGAAGTGTTTTTGAGTTTGCATACCGCGTTCGATATATGTATTTTTTTGGATGGTTCATGGATGAATTAAAATAAATGTATTCGTTATATAAATCAAAGAGTTATTAATTAATGAAAGCTTGTTTACTGAGACTTGTAACGATAGTGACACGTTCAAGTAAATTCTAAAAAAATGATATACTGCTTAATCAGTTTACACGTATTTATATATTTACCATAAAAGCATGTGGTTTTCTAATTTGTAAATGAAGAGATATATTACAACCAGCTGCGTTGTTTTCTTTGTTATGAGCTCTTGTAAACATTTTTACAAAATGTACTTAAATTTTAAGTCTTTGTGGTGATTTGCTGCTTGATGGGAAATGAAGAAAAGGGAAAGCGTCAACAAATATCGCTAGCTTCCTAACGAACATTTCTCCCTCCTTTCATCCATTATTTTTACGGATGCAATTGCGATCCATTTGCTATACATTTCAATCCAAATGTGCTTCTCCTTAAGAACCATCTACCTGATTATTATTTCTCATTCTCAAGCACACACAGCATTTTGCATATTCAATGTCACGTTCACAACTCTAGCACGACGATAGTGCAACATTTATTAGCAATTACCAGAAAGTACGGAACGGGCAGGGGCAGAATTCGTTCGAAAAACGAAGAAAGCAAATAGCGAGAAAGGTGGAACAAACGGAAGAACCAACACCGTCTCTCAGCTTCTAGCGCTTCTATTGCAGTTCACTATCTGTCCCCGATTTTCAAATTTCACCCACTCAAAATTCACCACATGACGTGGTGGTAATTAACAGAAAGTAAAGGTAAGAAAGTAAAGTAAATGATTAACAGTATAAAAAATTATAATTTTGATTGCTGCCATGACAAATGTCTGAAACATTTTTACCCTTCAACACGTGTTCCTTCATAAGAGTACATACATGCATAATGGAAGGGCAATTCTACTTCTCTTTAAACATTGGAAATACTATCTCACTTCCTGCATTGATATGGCTTGTAGAAACGAGTCTGTGAAATTTTACTCGCAATTGTCATCACCCACCTGGAAGTGAGAAATGCGAGGAAAACAGAATAACCAGAAAGCCAGGTAAAAGGAAAAACACGTTCACACTCCATCTCTCTCTCTCCTCAACATATTACTTCAAGTTACAAAGCCCCAACTATCACACATAAGCGCAAAATAACGCCAGTTAAATATATCAAATTTTAACACTACTTAGAGATATTGTATTGACAGCGTTGAAAAAGCAATTCGAAGAGAGAAAATTGTGAAACTAATGATACTATGGTCGCGGACTCCTCTACACGTTTCTTTCATTCATAATTCCCCATGTAATCTACATTGTGTATGCTGATATCTCATTAATTAACACATTATTTAAACCTACTTCTACCTAAACATTAAAAAATGATAATTTTCACTTATTGTCTCAGTTGTAGAATATTGTTTGAACGTGCCTTGGCTTCGTAATTTCGTGTCTGCAGTATTTATTCATCCACTGGGAAGTAAGAATCGAGCGTAAATCGTTTGAGAAGCGAAGAAAGCACAGTCGTCAGAAAGCCAGGTACAAGAACCTCCACCCGCACCACCTACCCTTCTCCCCACCCTCTCCTTGCCTCAATTCGCAGCTCGGCAGCAGCCGCCGCCCGCCCCCGCCCTGGTAATCGCGCCATCAGTATTAATGAGGACCTCGCACTGCAAACCATATCCTCCCGCGAGGATGAATTTTGCAACGCGCCTAGTTTAAAATATGTAAAGAGAATTTCGGAGCACCGCGCCGCGCGGATATTTGCAACGCGCCCGTAACACGGCGGACTCGTCATTGGCTTTTACACAAAAAACAGAACGCTACACTGGGGGGCAAAAACGAGAGCCGCGGCCCGACGAAATGCGAATAATGGAGGACTTGCGCGCCTGGACGGGCAGCAGGCGGGGGC